CGCCACTCGATCCCGACTTCGACGACGAGAAGGAGCGCCGCAACGAAGAGCTCTCGCATTGGGACAAACAGTTCATCGATATCCCAGATCAGGGCGACCTCTTCGACATCATAGCCGCCGCCAATTACATGGATATCAAGGGTTTGGTGGAAGTCGGCGCTAAACACATCTGCGCTAAGATTAAGGGCAAGACCTGCACCGAAGTCCGTGAAATGCTTAAGATTCACAATGACTTCACTCCCGAAGAAGAGGCGGCCATTCATAAGGAAAACGAATGGATTTATGCTAAGGATTAGCTTATGATTAACTTATCATTTATTACATGTTTGAAAAAGAAGACTAATTTTCTCATTATATTTCAGTTGATTTCACTTTCATTTTTTTGCTTTAATTTCTATTTAATGAACACTTTGTGAATGAATACCATTTGACTATTTTTGACAACTATTTCAATAAAAATTGATTTGATTTCTTGACCCATGAGTTGTCCCTTTAATCGCTGTCATCGGAGTCGTAATCTGGTCTGAAGGGAACCGCAGATGTCTTTGTGTGGGTTTTGTCCGAAGACATGACATTAACGGAACCAATCGGTGGCTTCTTATTTATTTCGCTTCTTTTGTTGAGCTGTTTTTGTATCATTTCCGCCAACTCTTGGACTTTTGTCGGTTGGGATCCACCGCTACTTCTCGACGGCTGATCACCACTTGATTTGTTACCATCGATGGGTGTATTTGTGCTGAGAATTTCCTCCATTAGTTGGTCGTCGATCTCATAATTGTTGTCTTCACTCGAGTCGTCATCCAATTGTTTTTTAGCCTCGGATTTAAAGTCAAGTTTGAGATCAGTTTTTTGTGTCCTTCGAGCGGGAATGGGAGCCACCGAAGCCTGGTTTGCGTCAAATGACTTATAAGTACTGGTGTCTGATATCATAGGACCGTATTCTTCACTACTGGTGTCTTCACTCGATTCTTCGGGACTTATTTGATGTTCCATTCGTTGTTCGTTAAACCGAATCCGTCTCTCGGGCTTCAGATCATTACTTTTAGGCGATTTCTTGTCACTTATAATTGATTTCAATGGTTTCGTGCTCTTTGGCTCACTATCTGTGGCATTGATTGGCTGTTCCTTCGGTTCTGTTTTCAGTTCAATTACTTCTACCTCTTGAGAGATCTGATCCCTGGATGTGTTATTAGCATCAATTGTTGGCAAAACGTGAACCACAGCTTCGATTGAATGCTTTTCAGGACTTTTTTGCTTTTGTATCTCAATGTGTGTCCTTTTCTCCGGTGATGTCTTTCTTTCCCTAACGACGGGAACCGATAATTCAGTTTGAGTCACATTTCCAGCGCTCTTTTCATTAACTTTTTTGTCCACAAAATTCTTAATGTGCTCTTCAATGACCTCAAAGTTATAGTCAAATCTGTTTT